TGTTATATCTATTGTGCAATTACCTTGTTAATTGTACAATAAATTTAGAGTGGCTACACATGCAGATTAACTATCATGTCTTAAAAAGGTTTCACCAGTTACAAAGTTATTGGTCAAAAATGTGTAATAACTTTAACACTGGCTTCTAATGTCTAGGCAATCTGCAGCTGGGAGACCACAGCTGCTGTGATCTCCCAGCCGTGGGGAGCTCTACACACCCTCACAGCTGGGAGACTGCAGCAGTGCCTCATGGCTGCGGGGGGCAGAGAGGCCAGCGTCTGACAGGGCTCTCAGTCCCAAGTGTCCATGTGGCACAGGTGAGACCAAGGAGCCTCATCAGTTGTGAGGATTCTTGGTCCAGCTGCAATGTGGCCCTGTGGCTGGATGCTCCCTCAGCAAAGCGGGCTCCCAGCTGTGGGAGTCTGCTTATTGCAAATGCAGGATCAGGCTCCACCTATACTGGCAGTAAGGTGCATTTGGATCTAATGTGCGATCCCATAATCATGCCTGATGCCATGCACATGTGGTATGGCAGGAGGCGTGATTATGTTTATGACATATTAAATCCAATTGTGCCTTTACCTGCCTGTGTAGAGGGGAACTCAGCAAATTTTTGTAGAACTGATGGGGGAAAAATGTGCATCTGCCAGGACCCATGTGTACCCAATTTAGGGCCAATTATTCCTGACCTGTCTCCATATGCAGAGTTCCTTTCAGAGAGAAGGGATGTAAGGTTCTCTGAAGTGGCTAGCCCTGTGCTAGATGGGAGAGAAAAATAGCTCTGCAGATTCTGGAGGCACAGACTGGTCCTGTTAATTTTAAGTCTAGTATTTTAAATCTTTAAAAAATAACTGCTGATATGGTATTGAAGTCTTATTTTATTTGGTCAAAGAAACAAATCCAGTAATTATAAATGTGGATTCTTCCCTTCAAAAGTTGCAATATGGACATTTATAAGGGAGCAGCTGGATTCCTATTCAGGTACTTAAGTGATATGGCAGCGAGATTTGCAAAAAATGCTCAGTGCACAACACCTTATTGAGAATGATGGTTGTAAGTGCCTTGTTCCATACAGAACTCCTTAAAAACTTTTAAAAGAGGTAGAAAGCTAGTTCATATAGAAGGATGAAGTTTCATCTCAGTGAGCCTGTAAATTAGCATTAATATTTAGACATTTGACAAGTTGTAGGGTCTTATGGAAAAAATGTAAAGGATCTTCGTACATGGATCAAGGAGAGCATAATCTGCCTTTAACTACCTTTTGAAGATCTTAATATTTTCCTTTTTTCCTGATAGTCTTTCCTTATTGTTCTTCTTTGCAGCATGAATACAGATAACTAGCCCTATCTAATCCTTGATTAGACAACTGATTAGAAAAGTGTCAAGTTGCTAACCTATAGGCAAAGCAAACATCAAATAGTGAAAATAGACATTATCAAGGGATTTAAAGCATTATTTGACTGGATTGCTTTCTGTTAGAATGACCTAATCATAAGATCTTTAGAAAAGCTAGCTCTGCTTCTGGATTTAATTTTAAGCATGTTGGCATATGATTGCATTTTAAGTCCAGTTTTAGTAGAGCAACTAAACACAAATAATCCATCTTGGTGGTTTTCATATTTGCTTTAAAAACTTGAACTAACTTAAGCAAAGTGTAGTAGACATTTCTGCCAGGATAGTCATATTGGATAGGAGCGAGAATTTTTTGTGACAGTTATAAGCTGGCAAAAGCCCTAGTGTGGTTGCAGCTATACCACCAAAATGTATCTTTGCTAGTACAGCTTATTTTGCCTGGGGAACTAGTTAAATTATACTGGTGGAAGCACTGGGAAAGTTTACCAGTATAGCTGTATTGGCAAATTTTTCTAGTATCAGTTAGGCCTTACTCTAGATCAGTGTTTCCCAACCTTTTGGTTCCGACAGCACACTTACCAGGCCTCTCCCATCCCACGGCACACCGGCTGAATGCAGGGCAGGGGTGGGAGGCGGGGTGGCAAGCAGCTGGCTGGGCATGGACTGGGGTGGGGGGTTAGCGTGGCTGAACCCAGCATGCAGATGCAAATCACTGGCTGGAGCCACACCCCCCCGTTTGTCAGTCTGTCTGTGGTGGCAGCAGGTGAGGGGCATGTCTCCAGCCAGCAGGGGTGTGGCTCCAGGCCAAAATTCCTGCATGTGCCTCACAGCATGCCAGTGTGCCGCAGCACACCGGTTGGGAAACACTGCTCTAGGTATCTGAAGTTGGCTAATCAGCAATTTATAAATGCTTCCCAAGAGAAACTATGTACTGGGGGAAAAAATTCTTACCAAAGGCTTGTTGTATATTTACTGCTACAAAAAAAAAGCATATTGGTTGAGGAAATTTGTAACAAAAAATTAAGTCTTTAACTCCACTGGTAATTGCTTTTAGGCCTCTGTGAAGTGGCTAATATTTGCTTCGGATTTGGATTTGGCTGAATCGGGGGGGGGGGGGGGGGGGGGGCG